AAGATGAGGCCAGATGAGTGAGGGGGTATAGAGTAAACTAGAGTTGTGAAGTTTCGGGAGCATAAGGTTAGACATGATGAGAGATTTCATTATCATATTATAGCTCACTATTTAGAACTATGTCACTCTAAGATCACTTATTCATTTGTTATTACTATAGTGTTCTATAAGTGTTCTATGAGGTGACAAGTAGACAGATATACATCAGAATCAGTCATCCCTGATGGTGAAGGAATATAAATATCGTATATAGTTCATCTAAAAAGACTGAATGACTATTATATCATATATATAGCAAAATACAATAATCCTGTATGTAATACTATATCCGGGGATGGAGACTGTGAAAAAACGTTCAATGCATCCTATAGTTATTTTAATTTTAGTTTATATTATTTTGTTATTTATTGATTGTTGATTTATATTTTAACTTATTATTATATTTTTTTTCTGAGCTCTCATACCTTTAAAAGGTAATTTTATTTTTATAAATTACCAATAACCTATTTATATATTTATATAATAATTAGTAATGATGTAATATCTAAACTAAATATAGCTATAGATACATTGTATATAAGTGAGAGAAAGCAAATATATTATACTATATATATATACCTAATTATTATTATTACTTATTTCTACATACCCTATATACAATCACTTTATAAGTTACTTAACTCATTATATCACATATATTTAGTTACTAATTATATTAATATATATATAATATATTACTATACCTTAATAAATACCTTATAATTATATATTTATCTACTAAATTTTTATATTCTTTCCTATCTATTCACTATCTCTAATCATTTTTTTCATTACATCCCACTATATTATTTTATTAACCACTAGTAAATTCTAGTACTATATATATATATAATACACCTCATTTATATAGATATAGATATAATATTCGCCTTTTCCTTCACTATCTAAAATCTTATATTCATTTCTCTATATCTTTCATCATTATTCATTATTTTTTATTATATTTTTTACTTTAATTATTTATTCTTACTTCAAATTCTAAATTATATACATATATATCATATTATTCTATAAGACATATTAATAATTATTTATATAAATACACACCTATACTATTAATACTGTGTTGTATATTATATATAACTAAAGTATATTATATAATATATATATATATAAATATATATATACTATATATTATCATAATATATATAATATAATATACATGTTCAGCACAGAGGGTTATATATATAATATATATATATCATATATTTCGTTCGTTTATCTATCTATTTATTTCATCACCTATATATATATGTCAACTCCTATATATATATTCTTACATATTTTTATTATTATTTTCCACTCTATTTTTTTTTATTCATTTATTCTAAATATTTTTTTTTTATTATTATATATTAATTATTTATTTTATTTATTTTTAGTATTTATTTTTAAATATAATATTATATATAATATTTTTTTTAGCTGTATTGTATTCTATATAATAAAATACTATATATGTTATTTATATATAATAAACATACTATACTATACTATATATAAATATATATATATAATAGATAATATATATATATATATTAGTCTATATGTATGGATATGTATGTATGTATGTAGTATGTTAATATGTAATGTATGATAATGTTATGTATGTCTATGTATGTATGTATATGCTTAATGTATGTATGTATGTGGTAATGTATGGTATGCTATGATATGTAATCTATAATATATATATATATAAATATAATTATAGCTAATAACAGTATTATATATATATAATACAATATATATCACATAAACTAATATACGATATCGTTCATCACTTTTATTCTTATTTAGAACCACACCTTCTATATCTATTTATCCTTTCTATATACTACTCTCAGAATCCACCAACGAGAACTATATATAATACGCTGATTCTATATATAATATCATATATACACTATACGGTCTGAGAATTATTCCGGAATATTCACTATCCTCGTTTAAATTATCTCAACTCACACTAGAGACTCACTCCTTTGAAGGTCATATTAGTTTAATATATACTCTATATACTCTATATTTTTAGCATCATATCAACATTACACACTACTATATAGCAATTTTCTCTTTATATACTTACACTCATTATCTTTTGATATGCTGAAAACACTAGTGTTGATAGCATGCGCCAGTAGTTTAGATGAGAGAGAGAGGAGTAGAGAGATACCTAGATAAAATGCAGCTATTATACGAAATAGTAGAGATTGAGAGAATGATATGATCAGCATTATCTTAGGAAGATTGATATGGATAAGTAGAATTTAGACTAAGATATGACGTATGACCGCGACACATAGAGATAGATCGAGAAAGAGAGGAGAGAGAGTAAAGAAGAAAGGAGAGAGAAGAAAGCGAGAGAGCACGATGTATTGATATGAGAGTATGTTAGAAAGAGAGAGAGAGATTGCGCACGCAGTAGACGTACGCGAGAGAGGATCTGATCACGCCAGCAGAGAGACTCATTGAGACGTCACCAGATCACGACTATTGCGACGTAGACGACAGCGTACATGAGACGATGTCACGTTTTATCAGTCTCAGCCGGGTTTAGGAAGTATGCACGAGAGAACTAAATGGAAGATCAGATTCTGAGTTAGGATTTGATAGATCTCACATGATATATTGAAGACGACGCGAGTGATATAATAATATGATGGTCGTAAATTTTGAGATTATACGTATAGAATAGTTGTGTCACAGAGAAAGAAAATGAGACAGAGCGAAATATATTTAGAATTATATCTAATTTATTATATCCGGATTAAGTCTAGATCATAGCGTGTATGGGGAAGGAGAGAGAGCTGAGGAGGCGACAGTTTTGGGCTGGTGCATTTGAGGAAGTGTTGTGCTGTCTTTGAATACTCCGAGCGATGATACGAGGAGAGAGATAGGAGGAGCCAGGTTAAGTGTGGTCCGTTGTGTCATCTTACCACGACTCCTATTCTTTATTCTGGTATATTTTTTTTGCTGTATTTCTGTATGTGTTTAACCTTTTTGCCTTTTCATTTATCAATTCCAGTCCACGCTTTTTCCTTATACTATTCTGTCCTTCAGTTTGGCTGCGTGAGAGAGTGGTTTTAGCGAGTCATTATCCGCATTCTGTCACTAAATTCTCATAAGTCTACGGCCGTGGTCCGAGGAGAATATATATTAATGATATTCGCTCTTGCACACTAATTATCATGTTAATTAAATTCAAAGTTAGGACTAGGAGTTATTAATGCGACATTGTGCACACGACTTATTCCAAATAACACTCCTGCTGTAATGATACCTCTGAGATAGAATCTCGCACGTTTCTGAGACGGCTTTCAGGCACAGTCATTATCGTCAAGCTTAAGCGTGGATTCTTGTGCGTATCAATTTAATACCAAAGCTGTCCTAGTCATGACTCCATTGTCTACCAATTCTAGAACATCCATATAATGATATTATCCGCTATCTCTTGCGCGCTAGCGGAAGATGCTAAGTTCCTGGACTCTAAAAGTACCTGTGTCTGCAATCTCGAATTGGAAAATTCAAACTGCTTATGCATCTAAACCACACATGCCGAGTAACTAGGGCATTAATATTAGCGAGAGAATTATTAAAATAAGAAACACCTCTATAAAACGATACACGGAGTGAAAAACGCGCGCGTGTATATCATGCATCTTCCCCGTGAGATACGCCATACTTATCCACAACCAAGCAAGAAGACCCCTTGGTTGATAAACTGCGAACAAAATACCCAAATCTATCGAGTTCTTAATCTATACTTCACGTGATGAGTGCGGTTGCTTGCACTTTAAAGATAGAGAGCAACCCCAGTACCCAAGCTCAGCTCCCGTGGCTCGCAGAGAACTACAAAGAGTCATATTTACCTTAATCCCCATACAACCAAGAAACAAACACTGACCGCTGCGCGCCATTCACTGAGGAGCGTGAAGGGCGGGTTCTTCTTTATCAGCTTGGAGTTTCCATATATTTGTATGCTTTCGGCCATAGTAACCGTCATCGCAGTACTGTGACCGTCCAATATAGCCATCCAAATTTTTCAAATTCTCTATACTCTCCTTGACCACGACGTCTTTATGCGGTTTATTGTCTTCGTGATCTGGATAGCGCTAAAGAAGATGAATGAAATAATGTCGTTATAATTGTAGGATCAAATAATGGAATGAATTATATATAAAATACGTGTTAATAACTTAATCGTGGCCTATAGGCTATTACACCGGATGCAGGTGGATGTGCTGAGGGCGCGTTCGAGTGTAGGAGAGAGAAGAGAGGAGCAGAGCACCGAAGAAAGAGTGACTATAGGACAGTGTTAGTTACAGTTGTGCGACAGGATGTGAGACAGAGACCGAGGATAGTGAGATGCAAGGAGACTTTATATCGCTTGTGGTATTGAGGATGTAGCAAGCACAGTGGAGAGGAAGAAGAAGTGCATTTGCGCACGAATATTGAGACAAAGGAGAGTAAATTGGTCTCTAATTACAAATCTGTATGATGCTGGAGAGATTGAATTAATATAAGCACTTGAGATAATAAAGAAAGCACAGTGAAGCAAAAGTGGTGGTGCGAGTAGAATGAGTATCTGGAGTAGCCCCGATATCCAGGGAGACCTCACCGTATTCCGTAATAGACCGATTGATTGCTCGGTCGATAAGTAAGATGAAGAAATCAAAGGAATGCAGTAGCAAGGCAATGGAACACAAGAGCTCTAAATGAGTTACACAACTGATACGGATTAATATCTGGAATATATCACTTGGGTTCTGTAAATCCTGCCCTATCGTGTTGGCGTTCGGAGTGGGGATGAGGCTCCCCCTGGAAACACGCGACCGAGGTGCACGCAGAGCTGTACGGATATTCAACGTATATATCATAAGGGAGATTGTATTGAGCAAGGATGTGATAATGGTAGTTATGATAAAAAGTGTGGCTTGTTTGAGATGATGTAGTCGTTGTTTGGACATGAAAAAGAACATGAGGAAATAGGTGTATGAAGTTAGACTAGTGGGGCCGTGTTTCATTATAAGTTCACAGCGTGTTCAGTCGGATGGCGATAGAGAGTGTATGTGGTAGGAAGTAGAGTGCGTGAACGTGAGAGTGACAGTAAGTCAGTCCACACGATGCCCGTATTACACTGCCGAAATTACAGTTAATGCTATGGTATAATATCTATTTTAATTGGCACTAGAATCATAACCGAATAATCTATACGAATTAATCGTATTTATAACTAGTGGAATTGTAAAATTGATATTATAGTTGTTCTGAATGTTGCTCTCTCTCACCTCCATTGTTTTTGATAAGTGTTATTATACCAATTAAACTTACTCGTTAGTTATAATTTATAAACGTCTTGCGTATCTGTTATTATACTGTCTAATCAACTTTTTTAACACAACAAAAACAAAAAAAAGATTTCTAATATATAATTCGTTGTTATGGGAAGAGAGGAAAAGAGAGAACTGGAACGTATAATAGAGAAAAGGAAAAAGCAGCCAACACACACACACACATACATTTGATATCATGCACATACCCATACAACGACACAAGCAACGTGTATACTTTTTTAGACGCACACATACATACAATAGACCCTTTTCATTCAGATATTTCCGCCGCCCTTCTGGAACCATCCACTGTCTGTGCTAGATTTACTACATTACACAAAACGAAATTTAAAAGCTTAATATATACTAATATGTACTTGCACAACAGTCATCAGATTTAAAAGCATCATAGAGAGGGTTTCAAAGCAAAAATGCAAATTATTTCCTAAATAAAACACACTCCATTGTCACCAGTATTTACGTGTAAAATCATAGGAAATTGAAACTAAAATTACCATGCCTAGAATATCATGGAATTTTGGTTTTAAGTATGTAAAATCATGGGAATTTATCATTTGTGTCTTTTAAAAATGTAAAAGTCTGACTTGGATTATCACAGAAAAAAAATAATCTGAGAAAGTCTTTAGAAAGAAATCAAAATAAACTCAGTAAAAAGTTGAAAAAATACCTAACCTTAATTGATAATTGCTAATCCATTATAAACAACTGGTCAATGAAGTATCAATAAAACACACTCACAAGTCATTGCTTAAATCTTTTATATTTGACAACCTAAATTTTGAATTACAGTCACTGTACATGCGATGGGATATATGTATCGTGAATATGCATCAAATACTTAAGGAAAACTGTGAAAAGTCATGGAATTTTGATACAGTGTACGAACCCTGTATTTAGGATTCTGTTAGAAATTGTAAGATCCTGAAGAAATATAAATTCCTATTCACAATCTTGTGTTTGTATTGAGTAATGGTGTACAGAAAGAAAAGGAAAACGCACACATAGGAAGTCTGTATGATATTCTCTTACATCAATTACACGTGGCGGAAGTGAAAGCTATCAGAATAATATGGTAAGAAAAGTTCTCACAATTTTCTCTGCTCTCTCTTCTCTCTCTACACACAGGTGCAAAGTCCTTCATGTGTTTTTACCTGTGCTAGCATACCGAAACCTCTGATATCAAGCTACTCTGTGAGAGCCCCAGAGCTGTAACACGCAAGCTTTTTAAATACATTTTCAGTGGTTGTGCTCAACCTACAGGCCTATAGCCAAAGCTAGGGACACCTCTTGTTTCCATCCAGGCTACCATGACTGAAACTGGACTGGAGGGTTGTTCAAAACGACCCAGGGCAGAAACCGACTTATGGTTCAAGGTTCCCTATAACTTGAAGGCTTCCGCAGTGCTTACCAATTGGTCAGAGCATTGAAGATAAAGAAGCAAATCTGGATGTGATATCCGACTTGTCATAATTAGATGATTAGTTCTGGCAGTACATTGCTCTCCTGCAAGAAATGAAGGAGTTCAGTAATGGTGGAAAAATGAGTGTCCCAAAAAGGCGGTTAGTGTTACCCCCTTTTGTCAAGCGGTAAGTCTCTACACCCTGGGAGTGTGATGTGGTCATCGTATACACGTCAGCGCCACGAGGCATCGTGCCTAGAGGCTGGACTGCCCTGTCAGGAAGGTGATAGCCCTCAGACGACAAGTTGTTGAAAATAACACTTTCTTCTTGTTCTCCAAGACACCTGTGTCTGGGTATAGAACAAAAGGGAAAAGGCTATCCTTCGCTTCCTAGAACCTTTAACCAGGGAGGACTCTGACAAGGGACTGTCAGACTTTGTCAGATTCCGACATGCCTGATACCACCATCCCTAAGGGATCTGATGCTGAACCAAAGACATTCATCAACTTCACAAACGATATAAATGCCATCGATTTTTCGAAATTGCATCACGGCAAACTATCCAAGCATTCTACAGTGGAGTATCAATGACTTCATGTGTGATGAAAGGTATCATACCATCATATTGCCAAGCACAGACGAGGCTACCATTGTAGCCAGTGACCAGTGACCAAACTGTAAAGTATCTCAAGCTCTTTAGCGAGCAGGATGCCACCAGGCAACACTATCAGCCGGTTTGTTAAAATCGTGCCAGGCCCGAAACAATGAATTTTCATTTTCATAAATACAGACACAGAAATAAAGCATATTTGATATATATACATACATTTAACCATCTATTTTTGTGTCTAGACAGATAAAATATGCATTTATTTCTTCATTTATGCATGTCAAGTATACGAATATTCTTTGGGTCGGGCCTCGCACAATTCTAACAAACCGGCCGTATGTACACAGGTGCGAACAAATGGTTTATAGACAAGGCTCAACCATAACAGCCGGCGGGTTGGTGGGATTATAGCTCTTGCCTCCACTCTGGCGCTTTCTGGCAATCCGGCCACTCGTAAGCATCCAGTGATCATGAATTAGTTAAGATACCTTAAAAAGCAGGAACCGGCCGGGCCACATATATGGGAAGCCCCGGCGAAGCTAGCCTTCGAGAATCTCACTGAACTGAACTATGTGCGTCCAAGTTCGCTTTCGGTATGGTTTCCCCTTTCAGGAACTTTACACACGTACATGCACGCGCTCTTCACCACACACACACACCACACACACACACCACACACACAACACACACACACACACACACACACACACACACACACACACACACACACACACACGGTTTTGAACACAAACAGATCTATTAAACTAGATTCTATAACTTATGATGAACACAGTTGAGTCTTTTTGTTTGTTTAAATGTTACGTCATTGCCAATTAAAATGATAACAAACAGCAGGATGTGCATTTCCATATCCGGTAGCTCTCACTACACTGCCAGTCAAATGATATGCTGTTAATAAGCTGATTAATGGAGGTTAACTATTAAGTATAGGTCACAGGATAATTTTTGTAGCCCCCATACTTGCAGCCAGTGACATCATGTAGGCATTACATCCCACAAGCAATGCTGTATTAATGCGCAAAGGCAGGTGTAAAAGGCGAGACGGTTGGAAAAAGCATTGATGAAAACTAAACGACTATAAGTAATCTTGTTGAAGTCATACTTTTCATTGCTTAGGCCACTTATTGGTTGTTAATGATTATGGTCATTAACAACATGGTGCTGCGTTCTGTCATTATAAGCACAGAAATACTGATGGATTTTTCTTGGAAAGGGTTCACTTCCATGGCCAGTTATCTATTTCCATTCTGTGAAATTGTTTATGAAACTTCATAATTCAGAATTCAATTTTCAGGATTATAATAATTTCGTAAACAAACTTTAATGAGAATATTATGGAATTTTGCGTTCGAATAAGGTTATTTAGAACGGTTCTTGTAAGTCATTACAGTGATTAAAATAGATATATTTTTAAGCTCATTAGTCAGCATATACATAGAGATTTATGCATATAATAACCGTGAGCATAAAGATGTTTATACCAACCATGATGAGCATCAAGTGTTGTGTTTAAAATGGCCGTATAGCATATCTTGGAACATCGGGTAATAATACGAAGTTTCCTGTAGTATATGTTGTAATTATTCCAGTATTATGCACACTGGTGTATACCATATAATCAGGATGAAAAAATTAAGCATTTGTTATAATTTTTGACACAAGTACACAGTACCATAATTGCATCTCAGTGGTTTTATATAATACAAAATATAGTTCTTTGGGTGACCAGCATATCCCAAATTTTAACAATGGTGACATGAAAATATGTCCTGGCTATCTACTCATCTGCTGATTATTTTTTTCTGATTTTGTCTATTTGCATAGAAACTGTTCAAAATACTGACATAGAAAGATGTTTCAATACACTTTTCTGTTGGATAAAGAGATTGCAAGAGATTGAGAAAGTAAGAACATTTTTTATCAGCAGTTGGAAAAATAGCCAGTCATATTTGGTTTATAAACTGCATTAAAACTGCTGTGTAATGTCACCTTCTTTTTTGCGCTGAAAATTATAGACAATTTGCTTCTATCACAGCAATTATAATCTCTCCATTCCCAATTTCTGAGTAACAGGATGGGCAAATGTTATATTATTAAAGTTTCCTCTCTGGTATTATACTGTATAATAATATAAAGTGAGGTATATGGTAGTTTAAGCATCAAGTAACATGCAACTTCTCAAGTTCTATGGAAACTACAAACATGAATTCGAGTTTTCTGTCTTAATCTTCCTTCTCTTGTGTTCTCCTGTTGGCTTGAAATCTTACAGCTCTTCAACTCTGGTGTATGGGTAGCATGATGGCACTCCTTATAGCATCAATTTGTTGTTCAGAATACGGTGCAGCAAGCTTGATAACTATTTCTTTCCATATAATGTCCTAAAAGCGTCTTGGCTTACACAGAGGAGCATGTTTAGCATGGAACAGGGTTTAAAACAGTATTGAAGATATGTGTTCATAAACAATGTCATGCTTTTTTCTACCACAAAATGCACTGATTTGTACAATATGTATTCTTTTCAAACATACCTGTTACAGTAAACAATACCACACTTAACAGGGTTTTTATATATAGAATATGTGAGAATAATTATCATTAAATGATTCAGCCAAAGGTCCCAACAACCACACTGAATGCTGATGTGTCACAGTACACATACTTTTATTTAATGGGAGAGGACAATAGTTTTAATTATATCATACATAAGACATGTTCCTTTAGTACACTTTAGTAGGATCAAATTCCCTATTATTTTCTTTCTGTATCAATGCTTCTCTTCTTTATAACTAGGGTATTCTACATTCCCCAAAGTTGTTCTACATGGCAATTTCAATATGATACTTCCAGGATAACTACTGTAGTCTCCCATTGATTGAGCAAATGTGGTTATTATGCAGCAAAGCTCGTTATGAAATGGATATGATGAACAGCATTTTCTTAATGATGTGCTGCACATTTGCTCATAGTTAAAAGTAATGTATGTTATCTTATAAATCAATAACAGATAAAACGATTAGCTTATTCATCCATGACAAGAACCAAGAGAATGAGAAAACAACAAATGTTATTTATATGAATAGAAAAAATATTTTGTTTTTGTATTTAAGTCCTTACTGCAGATGTCTGAGGATTGCCTTTCATACAATCATTGGATCATTGTACTTTTTCCTTTGCTTTCATAATAATCGAAGCTGGCAGAAATTTACATTCAAAAGTTAAAGTGGAACAAACAACCCATTTTTATTTCCTTGAAAACTAATCTTCAGTGATTATAAATTCACATTAAAATCAAATTCTTGTGTTCAGTGATATGAATCACCACTCCATATGTATCAATTGTCTCTTCCTATATGGGAAAATGAAGCAAATGGTACAAGAACGTTCCCAGGTCCCCTGGAAAAATACAGATTCCTAATATTTTCAGCTTATATCATTAAGCTCAGGTAATAATCATTGGTATATATACATACATATATATATACATAATATATGTAATATATACATGTGTATATATATACATATATATATATATATATATATATATATATATATATATATATATATATATATATATATATATATATATATATATATATATATATATATATAACCCCTAACTTATCGTATTATGCACTAATTGTAATACCATCAATAAATATCTATGCATGAACTATGACTACTCTACTTGCTTGTGTGTACAAGAAAAAAATAAGTCAACATGATCTTGGATTAAACAAATTATATGCTTAAGAAACTCATGAAGAAAATTCCAAATCATACATTCACTTGTATTTAAAACAGCAGAGCATCAGTGAAGGTGATTTCATACTACCAGATGCATCTGCCTGCATTTGTATTTAATAAAGTCAGTGCAATATGATGTTCATAACTGTATATGCATTTTTATATGTTTATGTATGTATATTATATATATATATATATATATATATATATATATATATATATAACATATTTACATATTCATATATACACACACAGACACACATAGAGACCTACAGTTCATGGCCTAAGGTACAAGCGCTGCTGAATATAAATGAGGCAGCTTCGAGGTGACCCACATCTACTACCACAGAGGTAAGTCCCTTTCAAGAAGGCATTCATATAATGATATCCGACAAATACGGCTTCAGCTCTTTGGATCCCAAGGCTTTTTCGATCCGTGTGGATTCAACGAAGTACTTGGGTCCACCGCTTTCCCGAAATGACAAGAGGAACTGAAACAATATAACCCATGCTAAATCTGCAGCTTTATCAAATCAGGGATCTTTGCAGAGGTCATATTTTTTTAGGATGTTGCAGTGTTCCTGGTGGATTATCGAGAGGTGCGTTAGTGTCACCAAGACTTACTATGCTCATATATAAGTAATATCTTGAAGGTCTTAAGATACTACGTTTACCACAGGATATATATCTTTGTACCTTTGGCCACAAACAAAACATTCAGTGCCTCGTATGTATACTCAGACATTTGCGGGCATGATGCATGTGTATATCCATCCATCGACCCACTTATGGATCTAGCATAGTATGATACCATATAATGTACGAACTGAGATGAGTAATGCCTTTTAAATTTAACACTGAACAATTTGCTTTCACGAATGCTTAAATACACTGTGCAGAAACTTCATCAATGAGCAACCCACAAGAATAGAGGAGCAATAAGATTTACATATAAAAGTATAAGCAGGAATAGTTGGACGGAGAAGGATCGGACAGGCGCATATTAATACTGGAAACTGAAACCTGTGTGATATGCGTCAGTCTTGCACTTTATATCTGTCTTTCTCCGTTTTAGGGAGAAAATGCATTTGTGGTGCAGGATATTTGATTTCAATCACTTAAGTTCTGAGTCTACAGAAAACAGAGCCAGGTCTGACCCTTTTGCTAAAACAGGAACTGAAAATTACTTCGTAGAAGTCAAGCCACATTTCATCATAAAGCGAAATCAGGATTCAATGCTTGCTGTCTCGAAAATGAGAGCACACTTTTCCCACCTTCCCTTACTGTTACTAGAAATGTTAATAATTCAAAATATTGATTGTGAGCATAATGTGTATCGCACACATTTCTGCACACATTTTTTTCCTAATCCAAACTACAAAACACAATTTCAGTATTAAAAGGTCACTTCCAATGCAAAGTAAAACAGCAATTTCCTTCTGTCATTGAAAATGTTTTGCGATTTGGCCGTAAGAAAACACAGTGCGCTGAATCTAGAAGTGAAAGTCGCTCATAATTCCATTTTGGCACTTGCTATTTTTCGTATATCAAAAATGTCAGGAATATTAAATTGCTCATACTAGAACGAAAAGCAAACTTCTTATTTATAATAATTGATCCCTTGAACCATCAAGAAAATATATAAAGATAAAATTGACTTTCAAAAATTTGTAAGAAAAACTCCTAAACTTAGAAGAGAAAGATATGCAATAAAAGATCTTAAAGAAATTCATGATAACATGACAATATTCAACAAAGGTTTGTCCACAGCCATTATAGTCAAACGTAAAACCTTTCATATCATTATTCCAGTAAATATGTATATATTACAAATTCTCCATTACCATAGGCAAGTATCTACACTCCCAACTAAGGAGTAATATAAGTGTAAAGTAACAGTATGAAATTTAACCAATCTCACGCTTAAACAAGAAATTGTCTTTTAGACTTCCGTGAGATGTTCAGCAAGCTGAGCGTTGCCTCATAGCTGAGGTGAGAAGGCACCGAACTTCAGAAAAGGAGGTGTTCCTTTGGGTACAGTGATGTGAAACAGCCTAGTAACTATTTTGTGAGAAAGTCACCAGTTGTGAAAATAAATGGGTGACAGGATTCAAAAGCTGTAATACAACTCTGGAATAGAAAAGTCACTGTGCCTTCCAAATCAGAATTGAAAGATTTTCTCCCCTCACTATCCTTATCTTCCTAATGCCCATTAGTCACCTGCTGATCTCCAAGAGCAATGCCACTACTGTCCTTATCACTGTGCCCATTAACAACCCCGTTTTCGAATACTTTGTCATGTTCTTTGTGATTGATTTTACTGATTTCAGCAAATTCCTGTTTTTCGTGAGTACCATTATGACCATTTTCTTTCACACTGCGGCTGCTCTCCTTTTGTACATCTAGAGAGAGATTGCCTTCCTTGAGAAACTCAGGCTTGGGAGTGAAGTTGGTCCATTCATTTGTCTCAGGATCCAAGTACTCTGTGCTATTGAGGAAATTCTTCCCTGCAAAAACGAAGAATTACAAAATTAAACACAGGCCTCTGATCAACAGTATAGCTGTCAACTCATACTCAATAAAGATCCTCATGATAATAAAACCCTTTAAACCACGCGGCCTTACCAGAGAAACCTCCAACGGCATACAGCTTGTCATTGACAACAGCAACACCAACATTGGCCCTGCATGTAGTCATGGGCGGTCCAGGCATCCATGTATTTGTCTCTGGATCATAAATCTCAGTTGAACAAAGACTCTGGGTCCCATCGGAGCCGCCAATCACATACAATTTCCCTGAAAGCATAACAATTTTAATGCATAAATAAATATCTATGAATACAATACCACTGCACTATGGTGCTGCGTACATCGCAAACGCTATAAATAAGGTAATGAGAGAGAGAGAGAGAGAGAGAGAGAGAGAGAGAGAGAGAGAGAGAGAGAAGAGAGAGAGAGAGAGAGAGAGAGAGAGAGAGAGAGAGAGAGAGAGTAATGGGGGAAGGGGGTTCAATAAAAATCAAATAATTATTTTGCTATTTACCTTTGAATACTTCAGCTCCACATCCCCGCCTTGGTGTTGTCATTGGTGCAACAAAACGCCATGTATCCAGTACTGGATCATAAACTTCAACCGAGTTCAGGCAGTTCCAAGAGTCACAACCGCCAGCTGCATAGACCTTTCCTACAAGGGATGCCACTCCTGCTTGGTAACGGCCTGAGAGTACAGAGGAAACATAACATTAATTTCTAAAGACCTGAACAAGAAGAAGACATCGTTTAGACACTGTCATATATCTGATGTAGAAACATTTGGACCTGGCATTATAACACCAGTGGATTGTCACGTGAATTTAGAGGATTACTAACCAATATGAAGTGAAGCAATTGTCTGCCACTTGTCAGCTGCAGGGTCATACATATCACACTGCTTAATACCATACTGGCCATTCCACCCGCCTATGCAGAACACTTTGCCGTCCACACTGCAGACACCTATGGGGGAAACAGAAGAGCTATGGTCAAATGGTGAAAAGTTTCGTTTCTCACAAAGAACCATGTCCGTGTGTTACAATGAATATGATGGGCCAGGAAGCTTTATTGTAAGTTTCTGAGATCTAAATATTAATATTTATGCACTTCTAAAGAGCATGGGACTATCGAGTACTTCAGGAATGCATAACAACTTGTAATCAGATAAACTTCATTTCCATGTAAGCAAATATAAAATCAGTTTACATTCACCAATTGCAAATAACTGGAATGTGACATACTGCAACAAATATGCAACATACCAAAACTTATATCTTTACATATATATATCTATATCTGCTTAAGTATATGATATCACAAGTATATCAATCCTACATGCTACTCATGTCCATGATTTGACTCAGAAGAAATCAAATAAATGTAAGAATATATGCAAAAAGTAATAATCCCAGGCTCTTTTTGATTGTCCAAAAGTGAGCAAGATGCAATTAGCCATTTAGATAAATTTTAGTTTTAAAAAATCTCAGAAACTTCAATGGGTAACATCCTACAGGATCCATTCTGATAACAAGCATGATCATTTTCCAATAATTATTCCTATAGAAAAAAATTGTCTGACCGATTCCATCGGCTGATTAATAAAATCACACAAAACTCTTGCACATGCTTTCAAGTCTGCTAAACATGCAAAAGAGCCACTATTAGAATGGATCCTAGGCAGAGGTTTTCAGAGAGCAGGTACTATCAAAAGTTTTGCCACTTCCACAAATGCCAATGAAAGTCAGCCCTTATCATTTCCAAAAATCAAAGCCAATTTGAATCCTAAATAGTCACTTGATGGGCGATTTTTTTCATTTGGCCGCTATGGAAATGAATCAAAACCTTTGACAAACATGACTATGATAAAAAAGGGGTCTACAGAAAAAGGAACTGACTCCTTCTGTCTTGGCTCCCAGACTTCCAGGTGTGAGTGCTTCACAGTATATGCCTCCCATCTGGAAAACATATTGGAATTTCATGAAATATGTGAGCATTAGCAAGATTAGGCATTAACCTTCCTGTAAAAGTGCTTTGTGAGGAAAACTGTAACTGGATCTTTTAATTACTTACCGAGGATGCATAACAATGAGCAAAAAAGATTACTCTCCATGTGGTTGAGATGAATTCGGCTTTTCTAGCAGCAGTACCATTGAACTTGCTTCCAAAGGTCAGGTCAAGAAACAGGCATATGAACATCTGCAAAAGTGGCTTGTGAATCAGCCTGTAGTTTGGTCAAATGACAGATGATCATAGCCAGAACACAAAATTGTTTTGTGCCCCTTTCTTTCCTGCATTTAGCAAGTTGGTACTCCATGCTAGATGACTTCCCTGTTGGAAAGAGAGGGAAATGTCCATTAATGTCCAACAATGTTACTCACGTGTGCCTAGTTGAGAAAGCCTCTGAGCTTCAGGAGGTTAATGATGTACTAATCTTACATATGGGTAGTGATACTGCTACTTGCCTTCATAATACTACTCGCATTGTAATGAAAATGCTGTTGCTATTTGTGCAACTCCATATGTTTCCAGGAGGCCATTTTCAGGTTCGCCTGCAAAATATCAGAAAAGTTGTGAGTTGAATACACTGCTAAAAACCCAGTTGCCTCACCGGTGTTGGAGCGAGCCAGAGGCAGAGGAGCAACGCTGGTCCACTTTGTAGAATGTTCCTCTAGAACCTCAACGTTATTAAGCTCTCGTGTACCATCACAGCCTCCAATTGCATAAGCCTTCCCATTCAGAACTGTCAGGTCAAACCGTCCTCTTCCCTGGCGCATGTAGGGTTGTGCTGTCCAAGTGTTGTTCTGCGGGTTGTAGGACTCGACCGCCCGAAGACACTCCCCGCGGTCATAGCCGCCACATACCAAGAGTCGCCCATTGAGGTTACCCGTTCCGGAGGCACACTTTGGTGAAGACATGTGGGGGATGACTGTATAATAGTCGACTTTCTCCATGGAGGATGGGCGGGATGTCATGGGGGTGTTTGTTGGTGATGAACTTCCCATTTTCTGTTGCACAGACAGAACAGCAACCGAGCCTTTGAGTGTCACTATGGCCAGCCATGAAGTTTCTGTTGGTTGGAGTCAAAGCAAATACATCAGTCATATGTGAAAAGTACCACTAACAGCCTCAATAACATGTTATAGACTTAAAGATGATTTTTAACCCGTTTTGTAGAATACTAAACACTGTGCCGGAAAACTCACCAGAAACGTGAGAATAAGCGATGACCTTCCAGTCCGAGTCCTGGTCCGAGTCGTCCTTGTCAGAGATGCTCCGCGAGTAGAGCAAGAGGCGGGGCTTCGAAGGCTGCGGTGTGGTCGACTTCCTCCGAGCCTAGAGAGGGCGAGACATTCCTGGATCAACGCCAACGTAAGAACAAAATGCCAAAAACAATCAATCGGGCATTCTAATTACTGCCTAAACTGTCGCAGAACGGATCTTACCTTAATGTTTGTCTGAGAGAGTTTTCTGGACATTTTCTTGTAGTCCTGAACCATTTCTGAATCATTAAGGTCACCTGACTGGATCTCTGTGCAGTCATGGAGGGAATTATCCATGTTCAAGTACAACATATGCTTCTGCAGGAGAAAAAAGAAACATATATTAGATACCTGTGACCTTACAACTTACTGATTTTCAAACCATTTAAACACCTACATGAAATTGCATGATGTATTATTAATCTATTAGTTTTATTCAACTACATATTGTAAACCTATCATCATTACGAATGCGCAATTAACTGGTTAGAGAAATGTACAGTTGCCACGATGAAATTTCAACCGAAAGGACAAACAACGTGATGTTTGGGTTTAAAGACACTGTACCTTTTCCTTTAACAGATCAAGTTGAATGTCCTCCTCCGCCAGCTGCTTCCTCAGCCACTCAAGGACAAGGTTGCAGAGCGCGCGTCCTGTGATGGCTGCTTCGTCCTGGGTCTTGTGGATGACTGTCACTTGTAGCTTGGGAACCCCCAGGGCGTCCCTTGTCACCTCAACCAAGTCAGGCTGGAAGAAACAAACGGAACAGTGAGTCTTAGACAGTCAGAAAAGTCAGAGGATAAACATCCCGTTCTTCATAAAGTGACGTCATAAATAAACACACAAGAGATGAACATTTCCTGCTTCATTGCACAACAGGAATGCAGACTCACCTGTTGCTGTATGTACTCGTCAACCCGCTCAGCAAAAGAGGCATTGGCGGCGATGCCATTGATGGCCCTGATGCCGAGACAAGTTTCAGGGGAAAGGTTGGCCACTAAGTGCTCTCCACAGGCGTTGGTCACATTTTCCATCTGCAAAAGAAAGACAAAATCTTAAAATTCACTTCATTTACTTCATATAAACCCTTTACATTGTTTTTTTCTACACCTAGACCATGTTTTTTCGATAAATGAACCAACCTTCAGTCGTCTAGAAGCAATGAAGACGGCCTTCACTTGCGGGTCGGGGACTTCAAGGCAGCCGGTGTAAGCATAGTTCACCAGCCTCTCTATGGAGTCGCGATCGAAACCTCCATTCAACTTGTATAACAACTGGCGCAAGGAAAGAAAAATCTTACTTTAAAAATGGTATATCAACAATGCATCATAAGACATTCAGAACAAATATTTTCTCCCTTTTATTTCCAGACAGCCAAGATATCCCCATAAGGTACACTCCATAAAGTGGTTGAAATCACGTCGGTCCAGAAGACACGAACTACTCACCCTTCCTTCGCGAGCTGACTTGTGTTCGTCTTCGGCGGTGAAAAGCTCGAAGAAGTAGGGCGAGGCACAGGCCAGGACCGAGCGGTGGGCGTGGATCTCCGAACTGCCCACCTGTGAATAAAAGATGAGTCTGGTAATGCTCTTGAAGTGAGAGAAGAGAAGAGAGATTAAAATCAGTTGTGAGCAAGAGAGAGAGAGAGAGAGAGAGAGAGAGAGAGAGAGAGAGAGAGAGAGAGAGAGAGAGAGAGAGAGAGAGAGAGAGAGAGAGAGAGAGAGAGAGAGAAGAGAGAGAGAGAGAGAGAGAGAAGAGAGAAAAGAGAGGAGAGAGAGAGAGAGTAAGAGAGAGAGGAGAGAAGAGAGGAGAGGAAGAGAGAGAGAGAGAGGAGAAAAGAGAGTGAGAGAGAGAGTGAGTGAGAGGAGAGAAGAGAGAGAGAGAGAGAGAGAGAGAGAGAGAGAGAGAGAGAGAGTGAGAGAGAGAGAGAGAGAGAGAGAGAGAGAGAGAGAGAGAGAGAGAGAGAGAGAGAGAGAGAGAGAGAGAGAGAGAGAGAGCGAGAGAGAGAGAGAGAGAGAGAGAGAGAGAGAGAGAGAGAGAGAGAGAGAGAGAGAGAGAGAGGAGAGAGAGGGAGGAATAAAGATAAAGGTTTCATCAGAGTAAGAGAGAGAGTAAGGAGAGAGAGAGAGAGAAGAGAGAGGAGAGAGAGAGAAGAGAGAGAGAGAGGAGAGAGAGAGAGAGAGAGAGAGAGAGAGAGAGAGAGAGAGAGAGAGAGAGAGAGAGAGAGAGAGAGAGAGAGAGAGAGAAAGAGAAAGAGAAAGAAAGAAAGGAGAGGGAGGTAATAAGATAAAAGGTTTCATCACAAATGCTGACGAAGAGAAATTGCGTCTTCCTTCTTCGCCGCTGAACTTGGCCAACTCAACAGCCAACATTATATCAACACAGACAATGACGACGCTATAATTCAAACTAACCCCATGAAAGACCACATCTTAATACCTAATTCTTGAAAAAAAAGAAAAGAAAAAAGAAAAACATCATTTTCCTATGGACTCCATTACTTCCTTGTCACTCCGTAAGGCGCTTAGGCGAGCACACGAGCAAGAGCCAGCGGCGCGAGCACGAGGCTGTGTTGTTCTCTGCGGGTCTTCCTTCATCCTATTTCGTCCACATAAGGCGCAGGCTGGCTCTGGTTGGCGGAGAACGGGGCGTCGACATCACCTGACTGGCTAGAGCAGGTTTTTGGCAGCCAAACGGTTTAAGCGAACTGATCACCTGATTGGCTGTGCAACCAGGGGCCGTTATGACGTCAGCCACTCGTGACATGTTCAAATATCGGTTACTCGTGGCGTAAGAGCATGTAATTTTGATGTCAGAATTGGGACTTTTTGCCAATGCTCTTACGTGGGGATAAATATCTTTTGCAGATCATTGTGTTCGGGTCCTCACGTTCACGAACTGTGTGTCGATTGCCTCACGCAGTCTGTGTGTGTGTGTGTGTGTGTGTGTGTGTGTGTGTGTGTGTGTGTGTGTGTGTGTGTGTGTGTGTGTGTGTGTGTGTGTGTGTGTGTGTGAGTGTGAGTGTGTGTGTGTATATGTGTGTGAGTGTGAGTGTGTGTGGTATATATGTGTGTGTTTGTGTATGTATATACGTGTGTTTGTGTATGTGTGTGTGCGTTGTGTGTGTATGTATATACGTGTGTGTGTGTGTGTATGTATATACGTATGTGTGTGTGTGTGTGTATGTATATACGTGTGTGTGTGTGTGTGTGTGTATAATACGTGTGTGTGTGTGTGGTGTGTGTGTGTGTGTGTGAGTGTGTGTGAGTGTGTGTGTGAGTGTGAGTGTGTGTGTGTGTGTGTGTGTGTGTGTGTGTGTGTGTGTGTGTGTGTGTGTGTGTGTGTGTGTGTGTGTGTGTGTGTGTGTGTGTGTGTGTGTGTGTGTGTGAGTGTGAGTGTGAGTGAGTGAGAGTGAGTGTGTGTGTGAGTGTGAGAGTGTGTGTGTGTGGTGTGTGTGTGTGTGTGTGTGTGTGTGTGTGTGTGTGTGTGTGTGTGTGTGTGTGTGTGTGTGTGTGTGTGTGTGTGTGTGTGTGAGTGTGAGTGTGTGGTGTGAGTGTGAGTGTGAGTGTGTGAATGTGTGTGTGTGAGTGTGAGTGAGAGTGAGTGAGTAAGTGAGCGCGCGCGCGCGCGCACATGCGTGCGTCCGTGCGTGAGTATGAGTGTGTTTTCATATAAAATTTCATTGCACTTCCCTTCTTGTCCGAAGCCTCTTCGTCGCCGCCACCAGGAGACAACAGAGCATGTAAATGTCATGCTAATTGACAGTTAGCGATGCTTAATGGGTCCATAATTTTCGTGCTAATTTTTGCAGATCTCGGTTCCGCTGCCTGACGACGGCGCCGCCGCCACGCCTGGGTGAGGCGATGGAGGGCCAAAATAACGTTGATAAACAGGAAGAACAACGGAATCTTTCTCTCTTCCTCTCGCCTCTTCCACCCACTCTTCTTCCTGTTTATTTGTCTCTTCTCTTCCATTCGGTTTTGTTGTAAATTTCCTCTTTTATCTTACTTTTTTTTTTTTATATCATCGTCCTTCATAAACTCTTAACTCTACTTCGAATGCTTTGTATCGCATTTCTGCTCCTCTGCCTCCTATTTCCTCTTCCCCTGTCGTCACATTCTCTCTCTCTCTCTCCCTCTCTCTCTTCTCTCGTCTCTATATATATATATATATATAATATATAATATATATATATATATTATTGCTCCTCCCTCTCTCTCTCTCTCTCTCTCTTGCTCTCTATCTCTCTCCTGCTCTCTCTCTCTCTCTCTCTCTCTCTCTCTCTTCTCTCTATCTCCTTGCTTCTCTCTCTCCCCTCTCTCCACGTACCTGAAGAACGACGTCACAGAAGTGTCGGCTCTTCCTCAGCTGGTGGAGAACGGGGCTCTTGGCATTTTGCTGTGTTCAACTTCAGGTTTTATCCCGGAGAACGTCGGCAGAGTCCTCTATCACCAGGTTGTGAATCTTTCCTTCGGTCACCATTTTGCCTGTGGAAGGAGGAGACGGGATCGATTGTAAATATTTTGCAAATGACAATGCCTTATAAGGTATACGTGTATTCACACACATGGACATACACCCACACACACACACGTGTATTTGTGTGTGTGGGGGTGTGCGCCGCTTGTGTAAAAAAATAATTCATATTGCTTACATATTAAATATTTAGAGTTTGGCTTCCACAAGCGCAGGATATAACAGTCAGGAGTGTATCCCATTTGCTTATAAACAAAAAGAAAGTTATAATCTTTATTGTGATTCATCATTATTGACTGGTACCAATTCCCACCCCTTCTTCATTATTAATTTTCTCATCACACTTCGCCTTCGCTATCCTGTCGAGGTCTGACAGAGAATGTTTGTACCATAAAGTGTGTTGCGGTTTCCATGGCAACTGTGTTTACAAACGCCTCCTTCAATTCCGTTCCACGCCACTGTAGTTTCATATTCTGAATCGATTCTCCACCTCGCTCTTAATTCAATAATAAATTTGCCATGGTGATATGTAAGTCATTTGATAACACTCGAACATTTTCGTAAAGTAAGCCAGTTGTTTTTTTTTCGACCTTTCTCTCAAAAGGCTGTAATCCGCTAGATTTTGCCGTTTTTTCGACTTATTATACGGATTTTATTAGTTTTAGCCTTTATTTCAGTATTTCTCGACTTGCCTTCTGACATATAAGAACTCGCGTGTGTCTGTGACATTTCATTCTCGAGAGGAACTTTCTTATCGCCAAATAATGAAGAAAATTGCAGCCGGGAAGACGTTCTGCATAACAAAAGAACCAGACCACTCTAGCCTTTACGTACGCAGAAACAGTGACACCAAGCCTAAAACAAATCTTACATGGAAATAATTGAGTAGATGTTTTAACTAAATGGCTAAGGAAGAACACACTACTTATCAACCGTAACTGAAATATATAACGAAGTATTATAACTCTGTGCTTGTCTTATTATACGTGTATAGATGATTACAGGATACAAGCTTCACGGCCTTAGTTACAAAACCGGAGACCTGGGTGTTCCCCGCCCGTAGCTCCGCCCCCTTCCTTCCTCGGCACTTTTAAAGAGGTCATTATGTCTTCAAGTCCCCAGAAAAACGCCACAAGCATTTTATTTTCATTTCTACATCATGAAGTGTCCTTCACGTCGTATCTACGCTTATCTCGTGCCTTATATAATGGTGGAAACACGCCTGGAATGGCAAAGTTATGTGTTTGTTATGATATTTTCTAGATGCGCAAAACGTGTATTTGCTCAAGGTGACCCGCGATACAATGAGGAAATGTTAATACTTTTTGCAATGGAACAACGTAGTACACTTAATAAGGGAATAATCTCTTGTGACTGTACACGCAAGAAGACTTTATGACGTCATTCGTACCCTGAAGGCGAAGCAAGCAGACGCTGTGAACGCATTTCCAACACACCCTCTCATTATCTCATTTTCTTGATATTTCCGCTTCGTCCGGAGTTTTTCTTTTCTTTCTCTCTCTTCTAAATCATCTTTCTCGTTTTTTACATGCGTATTTTTTTTCTCTCTCTTTCTCCCTTCTAAATCATCTTTTTCGTGTTTTTTATATGCCTCTCTCTTCGCTTCTTAATTTCCTTAATTCTATTTTCTTTTATTACTCTTTTTTGTTCGAATTTTCCACCAACAAAATATATATTATCATCAGTATCAAAAAGACCCAGGAAATGTAAAGAAGAAGAAGAAGAAGAAGAAGAAGAAGAAGAAGAAGAAGAAGAAGAAGAAGAAGAAGAAAAGGAAGAAAAGAAGAAGAGAAGAAGAAGAAGAAGAAGAGAAAAGAAGAGAAAAAGAGAAAAAGAAGAGAAAAGAAGAAAAGAGAAAAGAGAAAAAGAAAAGAAAGAAAAGAAGAAAAGAAAAAGAAAAGAAGAAGAAAGAAGAAAGAAGAAAAAAAAGAAAAAGAAGAAAAGAAAGAAAAAGAAAAACTGCGCGTCTTTTATCAAGTTAATGAAGCATGGTCTCTTTTTGCCGCGTCAATTTAACGAGGTTAATTTCTTGTCATAACAGAAAGGGTCCACATGTAAGCCGTTTTTTTTATACATAGACTTTGATTCATCTTTCTATTTCTTTAAATACTCTATTCCTATTCGTATATCTTATCTTGCTCTTTCACTAAATTATATATTTATTAATTTCTTTTATTTGCCGCAAATACTTCCATCCAGTGCTTTATAATGTTCAAATGTGCAAAAATTCTAGTTCTTGACAAAATCTCGATTTCTGCTCTTAATTCCCAGTTTTTTTTTTTTTTTTTTTTTTATCAATTTCATCACGCATTCTGTCAGTTTATGCTTCCCGAGTGCAAAAGCTGCTTTCTTCTTTTTCTTTTTTTTATCCATTTCATAATGCATTCTGTCAAAAGCTTCTTAATTTGTTATCAATTTCATCACGCATTCTGTCAATTTAGTTTCCCGAGTGCAAAATCTTCTCAAATCTTCCCAACCACACGTTCCTTTACCTCCCCCCCCCCCCCCCACACACACTTTTTCCGCAGCATCATTCTCAAGCAAACAGAACGCAGTTAAAAAATTCTCGCTCGTTCTCGCTGAATTCCGCCAACTCTCGCCAACTTACCGCGCGGTTTGCCTTAAAAGGAAGTGCAACGAAGGGGGTTTCTCGTGACGTCGGAAAGTGTTATACTGGAAGCGTGTTACCTGATGCCATAAGGAAGAAAATTGCAAGTTACATTTCATGGCAGTTCAGTCTTTGCGTCAGATGCAACATGGCATTAAGATAACAAGCTATCGTCATAATAATCACCATTGTTATTCTTGTATTGAAGTGATTGTTTCCATCGTTTTAATCTTCACTAATATAGCTATTATTATATTTGTATCTCTTCTGGCTTCTGCGTTATCTTATTTTCCCTTTCTTCCCATTTTCATAAATCTCCCTGTCAGTTCCATTCGCAACTTTTAGCGTTATCCGATTCTCCCTTTCTTCCCATTTCCATAATCTCCCTATCTGACATCTCGAAATCTCGACACACATTTTGTTTTTTTTACTTTTCTTTCCTCTCCGTCTCCCTCCTTTATTCTTGTTCGCCACTCTCTAATCTGTTTCCATCCACGAGTTCCATCTCCCTCCTTTATTCTTATTCGCCACTCTCTAATCTATTTTCCTCCGCGAGTTCGAGCTCCGTTCGCTTAACCACGAAGCAACAAGACTTCCGAAAAGCACCCAACGCGGAAGTCGACACAGAACCGCATTTATAACACCTCACAAACTCCGTTGCATCAGCACAGTGACCCTCGCGCGCTGAGCACTCCAAGAGCCCAACCCCGTCAGTCCAGGTCCATCCAGTATTCACCCAAACAGCATTCGTATGACACACATATGAGCTCGCTAACAAGTGTTGTCCGGTCAGAAATCCTTCTGTTATGGGAAGACTGATGCGTTTATATTTGTGTACTTAAGTGTGTGTGTGTGTGTGTATTTGGATACATTGTGTAACTGGTGTATGTGTGAGTGTGTGTGTGTGTGTGTGTGTGTGTGTGTGTGTGTGTGTGTGTGTGTGTGTGCAAAGTGCGTGGTGAGTGTGAGTGTGTGAGTCGTGTGAGTGAGTGTGCGTATGTGTGCGTGTGAGTGAGTGTGTGGTGCGTGTGCGTGAGTGTGAGTGAGTGGTGTGTGGTGTGTGTGTGAGTGTGGTGTGTGGGTGTGCGTGTGCGTGTGTGTGTGCGTGCGCGTGCGCGTGTATCTATACATATGTATCTCGCATCGCTGCCTCTACAGCCTTAGAAGGTGCAAGGTCAGAGACGAACATGTCTTCAGGAAGCTTTTAGTGTTTAATCCCATTTGCCGCTGTTCCGAGGCGCGCTCTCCTTTCACATTTCCTCAACACTTTCCTCTTGCTTTGCCAAACCCCCCACCCACCCCACCCCACCCCCCACCCCCAACCCCATCCCCTACCCCCCACCCTATCCCCTACCCCCCACCCCATCCCCTACCCCTACCCTATCCCCACCCCATCCCCTACCCCCCTGCCGGCATCCTCCTGATATTTCCGGGTCGCGATCCCGAGTCAACCCCAGTGCGCTTCTTTGCCCTTTGTTTTCCGTCGGGATTTCTGATTCGAACTTGCCTCGTCCCTCTTTCGCCCCTTCCCCTTAGCTCCCCCCCTGCCACCCTTCTTCGTTCCTTCACTCCCTCCCCCCCCCTCCCCGTCCCTTGTCCCGCTTCCCCTCACTCCCTCCCCCCCTCCCGTCCCCCTACCTCCCCTCCCACTCCTTCTCCCTTTCTCTCACTCCCTCTCCCGCCCCTTCCCTCACTCCCCCCTCCCCCCCCTTCCCATCCCCTTCCCCTTCCCCTCACTCCCTCCCCCCTTCAGTCCCTTGTGCCACCTCCCCTCCCACCCCTTCTCCTCCCTTGTGCCACCCTCCCCTCCCCCCCTTCACCCTTCCCCCCTCCCCCCCGTCTAACACGCTTCTAACATTACACATTCGCAAGCACAACGTCGCTCCAGATGACGCGCCTGAGCAAGCAACTCAAAAGCTTTACCTCTCTTACGTAATCCAGAGCTGCATATTCCTTGTTTATTTATTCTGCTCATTACCGGGCCGGGGTGATCCATTTTCTACCATTACGAAGAAAATGGGATGAGCGACGGGTAGACTGAAGCGAAAACCCGTCTGCTTATGATTTCCTGTTCATCAGAATCGCCACAAGAAATTCCTTTTGCTGACTAACCGAAGGGATTATTAACCAGAAACTTACTGGGAACTGGTTTCTTTTGCCTTCTCCGTCTCTCCTCTTTAATCTACCCTTGTTCTTAAATCCCCACCTTTTTTATAAAATCTTCCTTTACTCGCAAAAATAATTCTCTCTCACTTCCACCTTCCTTTAAAAAAAAAGCCCCCGAGAGGAGCGGCGGGGGAATGAGGGGCCGAAATTTAGTCCCCCCTGGAGAGAGAGCTCGCTAAAGTCATCCACTCCAAGTAGGTCAGCTGGAACACGCGA